AGCTGCTCTCTTATACTTCATGTTTTCATTAATATTACGCATATTTTCCCCCTTGGTGTTATATCTTTAAAAGAAATTTTAGGCAAAGATTTCATTTTTGTACTTTGGATGTATTTTCCTTTTGAATGTGGTTCAACTATTTTAAGAAAAGGAAGCAGCCTGTAATGATATCATTCGAGCTAAGCCAATTTCTTTTAGCAGTAACAAAAAAATCTGCCAGATGTTGCTATTATGAAATAGTGATCTAGCATTTATAATTCATTGGACACCTGGATATACTGGCATAAACAATGGCTTTTTATATGATGAGGCAGCTCTAATTTAAGATCAATGCTTCATCTGTTTTCTTTGTAACTCTTATTAGCACTAATGCACAAGTCTGGGCATGTTTCCATGGACTGCCTTTTGGCCTTCGGCGTGTTAGAAATGGTGAACAGCAGCGAACATATTCCACCTGGGGAAGTTTCGCCTGCTGCCGCGTAATTTTGCACTTATTTTAAAAGTTGGGCCTGCCGCTGAGAGACTGAGGACAGCACTAATTTGAATTGTCTGGCAAAAGCCAGAGTCATGTAAAGCACCAGTGTTCACTCGAAAGGCATTCGGAGACGGCAGTTTCTAATGCCCAGGCCTAGTGTGAAGGAGATGATGACACACTGCCTTATAATTAAGTCAGCGAGAGTCAGAAGCACTATTTGTTAACCATAGTCTTCTAGAGTCTCTAGTTTTTCAATGAATAAACAATCCCTTTCAGCACAAAATAATTTGCTTTACCAAAGCTGATACCTATCATAGCCACCCACCCATGAAATCCTGCAATTAAGGTCAGATGCTCACTCTGCCACGACTTGTCTGCACTCAGGTGGTTATGTATGACGTTCTAGGTCAAAGCAGGGTTCAGACTAATTTTTAACGAGGTACAGCCAGATTTGAAATCATACAAAAGGGGTCTTTAGACCCGGAACAACATTATTTTCTACAGTTTGTGAAGCATTCGCTTAGAAATAACTGAGCTTTTTATTAAAAATCAAACTGTTTTCAAAGTCAGAACTAACTGGTTTACATAGAACATTTGAATTTTAAGTCCTTATTTAAAATAAAGTTACTTTATTTAAAATAAATACACCTCAAGTTAGTTTATATAATTTAACATGATGCAATTTTAGCATCTACTGTGATGTATTCTAAACATAATAGGAATGTAATTTAGTGCTTTGGTTTAGTGTATGTTAAAATGTTAAGAGGTACTCACAGAGCACAGCTGACTTTCCAATATTCTCGATTACTCCTATCCAGCCCACCCCACTCCACCCCAACAATACACCACAGGCTGTACATCCCAAGCAAGTATTGTTATTATCCTTGAGACACAATGAATGATGTTCCATCTGTGAGGCAGGTATGTCTTATAGGAGAACCTCCCATCTCTTACTGATTGTGAGTGGATTCTGTTGCTGACTGTGTTTAGCTACGTGGAAATCTACAAGTTGAACATGGACATTTAACACATTTAATAGTGCATTTAACTTAAGCCAAATCCAGCCATACAAACTCAGTCCCCTATATTTCTCCCTCAATTTAAGGGAAGGAATAATTTTTTTTAAAAAATTGATTTTACAGAGGGAGGAAGGGAAAGAGAGAGAAAAACACGGATGTGAGAGAGATACATCGATCGGGTGGCCTGCCATATGAGCCCTGACCGGGAATGGAACTTGCAACCTTTTGGTATATAGGACAATGCTCCAACCCACTGAACCACACCAGCCAGGGCAAGGAAAGGGATTTTTAAAAGGTAAAAAGCCCAAAAAGAGGTGGGAAGAATGGGACGAGAGACAGTAGCAGGCCAAGAAAATCCAGTAAATTTCTGAAAGATGGAAAATAGAAGAATAGCAATTATGTGATAGAAAATGAGAAGCTATACTGGGATACCCCTATAGGATGAAATGATTTGAGAAGGTAACAGTTTGCCTATAAACCCAGAAAGGCTCAGAACTCAGAGGCCCAAGTGCTGAGTAACATACAAAGGGGTGAAATGAGAGCGAAAAATGAGGACAGGTTCTAAGTCATAGAGGCGGTCGGAGACCTCATGCGATTACCTTTCTGCAAGCAAGAGATTGTTCTCTGGGAAAACCAAACTTCATAAGCTCTGGCCTTGGGAGCACCAGACACACTGGGCAAGCGATTAGGCTTGAGAATAAAAAAGCTTGTCAAGTACAGATCTGCACACTTGTCTGAGACTTCCCTGCTCTGCTCCAGAAAACAGGCAGGCAGGCTCAGGAGGACGCTGGGCGCCCAACACAACATCTTCTCTGGAGAAACTAAACAGCCGCCGTTCTCTTTTTCTGGACTCCAGCCTACCGACATGTTGGACTTACTAATTAAAAACACTTTGCAAGTTCATCGAAGTGTAATTTACATGTAATAAAATGTCCCAATTTTAAGCATTATAGGTTGGTTAGTTCTGGTCATTGTGTACACACTGTACAGTCATGTAACCACCACCACAATCAGGACACGGAGCAGTTCCCTCATCTAAAACTTAGTTCATGCCTCTCCGTAGTCCATCCTGTCCCCTGACCATTGGTCCCAGCCAAACACTGATCTGTGTTCTATAACTGTGGTTTTGCCTTTTTCAGAATTTCCTACAAATGAAGTCATTCAGTGTGTTGTCTTTTTTACCCAGCTTTTTTCCCCCATAATTGAGATTTTATTGTTTGTTTTGGGGATCAGTACAGAGACATTTCAATTTGTACACATTTCTTAACATACATACCAAAAATGTAGTCATGTAGTTGTGATTCTTTTCTAAAAAGATATTCCAGTGACTTTCCAGCTTAAAATTTGGAGGCTAATTTTCCTTAATAGAATATTAAGTACTAATATCTTCAAAGGTTGATACGCTGTTACATCAAAGTCCCACTCATTCACAATTTATTTTTTATTTTTTAATTAAATCTTTATTGTTCAGATTATTACATTTGTTCCTCTTTTTTCCCCCCCCATAACTCCCCTCCTCCCAGTTCCCGCCCCACCCTCCGCCCTCACTCCCCACCCACTGTCCTCATCCATAGGTGCACGATTTTTGTCCAGTCTCTTCCCGCATCTCCCACACCCCTTCCCCCCCAGGAATAGTCAGTCCATTCCCTTTCTATGTCCCTGATTCTATTATAATCACCAGTTCATTCTGTTCATCAGATTATTTATTCACTTGATTCTTAGATTCACTTGTTGATAGATGCATATTTGTTGTTCATAATTTGTATCTTTACCTTTTTCTTCCTCTTCCTCTTCTTAAAGGATACCTTTCAGCATTTCATATAATCCTGGTTTGGTGGTGATGAACTCCTTTAGCTTTTCCTTATCTGTGAAGCTCTTTATCTGACCTTCAATTCTGAATGATAGCTTTGCTGGATAAAGTAATCTTGGTTGTAGGTTCTTGCTATTCATCACTTTGAATATTTCTTGCCACTCCCTTCTGGCCTGCAAAGTTTCTGTTGAGAAATCAGCTGACAGTCGTATGGGTATTCCCTTGTAGGTAACTGAGTTTCTTTCTCTTGCTGTTTTTAAGATTCTCTCTTTATCTTTTGCTCTTGGCATTTTAATTATGATGTGTCTTGGTGTGGTCCTCTTTGGATTCCTTTTGTTTGGGGTTCTCCGCGCTTCTTGGACCTGTAAGTCCATTTCTTTCACCAGGTGGGGGAAGTTTTCTGTCATTATTTCTTCAAATAGGTTTTCAATATCTTGCTCTCTCTCATCTTCTGGCACCCCTATAATTCTGATGTTGGTACACTTGAAGCTGTCCCAGAGGCTCCTTACACTATCCTCGCATTTTTGGATTCTTTTTTCATTTTGCTTTTCCGGTTGGGTGTTTTTTGCTTCCTCGCATTTCAAATCATTGACTTGATTCTTGCGCTCCTCTGGTCTGCTGTCGGGAGTCTGTATAATATTCGTTATTTCAGTCCGTGTATGCTTAATTTCTAGTTGGTTCCCCAATATAAGATCGAGGGTCTCATTAGTTTTCTTGTAGATCTCATTAAGTTTATCGGCGGCTTCTAAACAGTTCTTGAGAGACCTTAAAAGTGTGGTTCTGAACTCTATATCTTCCATTGACAATTTTGTCCTGTTTCTTTGTCTCCGAATTTTGTTATGCTTCCTTGGTGCACCCCCTAGTGGTCTTTGTTCGCAGTCTTATAGTTAAATCTTGATTGTTGTAGCTAATTCCAGGGAGGGTTTGACCTCCAGGCCAAGTGGCTATGAGAATCAGCTGTGTCAGCAGTGAGAGAACTTCTGTCCTCTAGGGAGGTGCTAATCTAGCCTTTGCCTGAGGCTATCCGGCAAATGCCTCTGTGCAGGGCTTGGGCGGGGCGGGTCGAACAGGATCAACAGGGTGGGCCGGAGAGAGCAGTTATGGCGGCTCTCAGTCCTGTCCCCAGGGGCTCTGCCGCTGCAAAGCTCAGAGAGAAAGCTGCACTCCCTCCGACCGAAGCCAGACAGTCCCGCTTCTCCCTTTTGAGTCTGGGTCCCTAAAGACTCGCCCGTATCTGGAGCTCAGAGTCTGCGACTCCCTCCCGATTGAAAACGCCAACCGCGCCCTCCGCCGCCAGCCGCTCCGCGCACTCTGCACCTCAGAATTTGACTTCAGCACTGCGCCTCCTCTGAGTGTCCGTATGCGTTTCTCTTTCCTCCTAGTTGTAGGACTTCCACTCAGCCAGCGTTCCTGTGGTTCTGGGTGATGTCCCTTCCGTTTTTTGGTTTCACTTTTGAAGTAGTTGTTCAAAGCAGCAAACTCCGGCGTTAACCTATGCCGCCATCTTGGTTCTCCCGGTCTTCCACAATTTAATATCATATGCTCTAACATAATCAAATTTCAATTTTTCACAACACTCTAACAAAGGTACTAGGAAAACTGGACTACCACACCAGAGATGTTACAGATGCACACAATTCTGACAGGGAGAGCCAAGATCAGCAGTGGTTTTCTTTAGGAAACAATGCTACCAAAAACATGGGAATAGAAGTAAGTTAAAATGTTCAAGACATAGCAAATGCACAACTGACTCCAAATTGCCATTTAGTTTGCTTTGTATTAGAAGATATAAAAACTACCCTCATCTATTGGATGTTAAGCTGACACCCAAGACAATCAAAGCCTCCCATATTCAATATCCCACTCTTTGCTGGTTGTACCCCAAAATAAACAACCAGCAAATGGTTTCACCTCTTAAAAAAAAAAAGCATTTACACTTAAAAAAATGGGATGAGGTAGAATTCCCTCCTTCTTAAAAATGTTTCTAGAGTTACTAAAAAACTTGCATTGACAAAACAGTTGATAAAACTATTCCTCTGGAATTGTACAAGAAGGGAGACAGGGACCACGGGTAAGACATGGTCTAAGATATTTATTAAAAAATAATAAAAATACGTTATAAAATCTAAAAAAATAAAGAAAAAAATAGAACAGACTGAAAACAAAGTAAAATGACAGATTTAAGCCCTAACATAGCAATAATTAAATGGAAATGGTCTAAATATATTATGACCTAACTATATGCTACTTATAAGAAACTCACTTCAAATATAAAAGTTTTGTTTGTACAAGTTTTATTTATAATAGCCAAAACTGATATTTCTTGGCTTCTTCCTCTCCTGCTTCATCTGAGGCCGGACTCTCCTGGATTTTAATTTCTCCATTTCCTGCAGGTAGATCTTCTTTAGGTTCCTGGTCAGCCACTTCGGCCTGCTTTCCCTTTGCTCCCCCTTTCCCTTTTGCTTGCACTTTTTTGTCTGAAGATTTATTTATTTTTGCCACCTTTTTTGGCTTTGTTTCCACTTTTGCAGGAACAGGTTTGGCTGACAATCTTGCCGACTTCCTCTTGGGCTCCTCCTTGGCAGAGCAGACCTTTCTCTTGGGCATCTGGCAGTGGGGTGGTGCGTGCTGGGTGCCTGAGGGCCATGTGCGCCTAGTGGCTTCTCAAACCTGGGCTGCCTGGCTGCTGCCACTTCTTTCGCTGCCCAAGCTACTTGGACCCGTGATGGGGGCAGTGGGAACTTTGCCTGGCTTTTTTCACAACCAAAATGATTTTAAGATTCACCATGTTTTTGTGTATATTATTATTTCACTCCGTTTGCTTGCTGAGTAGTATTCCTTTGTCTGAATACACCTGAATTTGTTCATCTGCTCACCAACTGAGGGGCAAGCTACCCCTTCCTAGTGACACCCATTCCCTTCCTTTCATTCTCTCTAAGCCCTAGAAACCATTTATTCTCTAGCTCCATATTCTTGTCATTTTGAAAATGTTATGTAGAAATGGAATCACATAGTGTGTAACCATTTGAGATGGCTTTTTTCCCTTTCTCTTCACACAATGCTATGGAGATCCATTCAAGTTGCTGCATGTATCAACAGGTCATTCCATCTTTATTGTTGAGGTGTATGCCATGGTATGGATGTAACAGTTTGCTTAGCCATTCACCTATTGCAGGACACTTTGTTCCCTTCCTGCCTCCAGTTTTGGCTATTATAAATAAAACTTGTACAAACAAAACTTTTATATTTGAAGTGAGTTTCTTATAAGTAGCATATAGTTAGGTCATAATATATTTAGACCATTTCCATTTAATTATTGCTATGTTAGGGCTTAAATCTGTCATTTTACTTTGTTTTCAGTCTGTTCTATTTTTTTCTTTATTTTTTTTAGATTTTATAACGTATTTTTATTATTTTTTAACCTGGTTACAAGTATAATACATCATGATACTAAAATCTTCGTTTTCTTTTTCCTGACTTCTGTGGATCACCTGAATACTTCTTAACATTCCATTTTGATTTATCTATAGTATTTCGGGTGTACAGCTTAGTGGTTAGACAGTCATATACTTTATATATTTTCCCACCAATATTTCCAGTACCCAGCTTTATATAGCTTTCTTAGTGGTTGTTCCAGGTATTATAGTCTATATCTCACCACACTTTACTGACATTTTACTGCTTTCAGTGAAGTGTAGAAACCTTACTTCCCTTTATGTTCTCCCATTTAAAATATAATGGTCTTGCCCTGGCCGGTGTGGTTCAATTGGTTGGATATCATCCTGTACACCAACAGGTGGTAGGTTTGGATTCCTGGTCTGGGCTCATACCTAGATTGCGGGTTTTCCCCAGTTGGAGTGCATGCAGGAGGCAACCAATCAGTTTTTCTTGCGCACATCAATGTTTCTCTCTCTCTCTCTCTCTCTCTCTCTCTCTCTCTCTCTCTCTCTCTCTCTCTCCCTCCTTCCCTCCCTCCCTCTCTCTAAAACAAAAAACAAAAAGCAATTGTCTTAACTATTTCTTTCAGGTATATTGAGAATCACATCAACCATCAAACAATTTAGAAAACTCAAGAGAAGAAAAGTCTACTGTATTTACCCATATTTTCCTTTCTGCTATCCCAAGATTCCTTCTCTTACCATTTATTTTCTTTTTAAATATATTTTTATTGGTTTCAGAGAGGAATCTTACCATTTATTTTCTTTTTAAATATATTTTTATTGGTTTCAGAGAGGGAGAGGGAGAGGGAGAGAGAGATAGAAACATCAGTGATGACAAGGAATCATTGATTGGCTGCCTCCTGCATGTCCCACACTGGGGATCAAGCCTGCAACCCAGGCATGTGTCCCAACCGGGAATCTAACCGAGACCTCCTGGTTCATAGGTCGACATTCAACCACTGAGTCACGCTGGGGGGGCCTATCATTTATTTTCTGTTTGAAAAATTTTCTTTAGCCATTTAGAAATCTATAATGCATTTCAAATAAATTTTCGTGAATGATGTAAAGGTCATAAAGATATCCAGTTATTCCAAAAGATAGAAAGCCACTGCTAATGGGTATAGAGTTTCTTTTTGGGGGTGATAAAATGTTCTAAAATTGATTGTGGTCAACGTACAAGTCTGAATAAAATACTAAAAACTTTTAAATTATATACTTTAAATAAAATTTAAATATTACACAGTGAATCAAAAAGCCGATTAAGTAATTAATAGAATAAAAGTCCAAAAACATAACTGTACACCCAATTGGTCTCTTCAGAAGACCTGGTTCTAATTATTATTCCTGAAAACATTCCCACCTTTCCTTCTAATACATGGCTGAAACCAATGTATTACAAAGAGGCTCACTGTTCTGACAAATAGTTTGATATGCCAGAGTCCATTCATTGCTGTGGTGCAGATGAAGCAAAGCTGGAAATGTTAACCGTTTCCCTTGGCCAATTTAGCACTGGTGCCAATGCAAACCCAGTGCCATCTGATTTTCAAGCCCAATCCTGACCAAGGCCCCATTAGCAGTTTTATCTAATGTGCCTGAGATGAAGGTAGGAAGGAGTCTATAGCATTCACATCTCCCCAACCCTGGTTCCCACTGGATTTTACTGGATTATATACCTGGTTTCTGTCTGGTCTCCTGATTAGCCCTGAGTAGGCCACCTAGTAGAACCAAGTCAGTGTTCTCAACCTCTTAGGCTGGCTTGGCTGGGCCCTGATTCTTTCTCTAGGGGTTAGGCTGTACTTCTTGTATTCCCAGGCACAAGCTCAAGTCCTCCCAAACTGGGAAGACTGCAGGCTGGATTTCAGGCCCTACCATTACCTACTCTAAGTCAAACCTTCTTGGAGAACAAGCCCACGTTTGCTTCTCTTCTTGGGAGACGGTAATTTAGAGTCTGGCCACTTCACATGGGGGGCCCAGCCAATAGCCAGGTCAGCTGTCGTAGTTTCAGAAACCAACTAGTTTTCTCCTCCATTCCCAGGAATCCACTGCTGAGACCTCAGGAAGTCTTAGGGCTGACTCCATCACTTATGGCAAGAAGGCACCTGGCACAGCTCTGCACATGCTACTTCTTTTCTTCCCTCATATCAAGTCAACTGAAGCATGCTCTACTCACCTGGTGCACACAGTCTAAGAATTGCAGGAAGACTGGGGTAAAACCACTACCCTGACAGTTGAGGGTCAAGCTGCTCCGCTGACTGAATTTATGACCAAAAGAGAGCCACTCTTTTTCAACCAACATCCGGAAGCCTTCAAGTGTCCTATAAAAGGGATCACTGAGTAACTGCACCAGGGATGTCACCTAAGGCACAAGCAGATGGACACTTATTATTTTCAGTTCTGAAAAAATCCTCTGGCTAAGACAAAGTACTTCCTTTTGATGATAGCTAACTCACCGGCAAAGTTACCTGGGCAGCAAACTTGTTCACTAACTGCTCCAGGACAGCCAATTAAATTAATCCCGCAAACTTTCTAGTAAAAATTAAAAGTCAAATTCATTTTGTCTACATGTTTTCTTTCAGGGAATCCAGATTTTAATCCTTACCTGGCTAGTTTGCCGACTGTGACTTTCTTCTAGGTTAATTAATGAGGCCAGAGGATCAGTTCAAACCTACTTTTCGGCAGGCGTAGATTAATGTCTGACTATAGTTCACATTCAGACCTTTCCTTTTCACTCTGGAGTAAGTAAGGGAGGAGCTTAGAGGGAACCAGGCAAAGGACTGACTAAACCTGGGAAGGACGGCCCACGTCCCACACTGCAGGCCAAGGAGCGCCATGTGCATGCCTGCCCGGTGCACCTGTGGTGTGGCACCCGATGCCCGAGCCAGAGCTGCAGGCTATGTAAGGCCTGGAAGCCCACAGCACAGGACACCTGATGGACACCAGGGGGTGTTAACACAGGACTTTTCTTTGTTGATACAAATTAGTCACTAATCAAAAGGTTCACCTGCAGAATTTAAAAACTAATTGAAACACAAATTCATACATATACAACCAAATATATGAGAATATGTGTAAGAGTTTACTTGTGCTGTGATGTCCCAGCCTTCTTCCAAACAGACCAACACGGAGGAACCATTCTCCAGGACCTCGGACACCACCACGGCCAGCTGCATGATCCTGTGAAGCTGAGACGGGAAGGAGCCACGATTAGAGCCAGGGCTTTCTGAGCACCCGGGACAGACAGACTTGTGTCAGCCTTAGATAACCAAACAAGTCAGGGGATAAAGCACTTGACCTAAACGTGAGTTTTAAACACTTAAAGTTCTTTGTCAAAATAAAGATTAAGCAATGTGTTCAGGGGACACATGATGAGATAAATTGATCTTAAATGATTTCCCCTGACGTAGAACATCTATAATTCCATAGAGTGGAAAAGTTAGAGATTCTAAGCATTCCCCCCTCCCCCCACCCCGTCAGAGTTACTAGACTTAACATTTGTTTTTCCATGATGATGTAGTAAGTACTATGATGATGTAGGAAGTTCTATTTTGGATCCTCTTAATTTTTCTGGAATTAGATAGTGGGGATGTTTGCACAACTTAGTTATTATACTAAAAGTCACTGAATTATATACTTTAAAAGGATGAATTTTATGATGAGTTATATCTTTAAAAAGGACACTCTTATTTGTCTGTATGGGAAGAAAACTTATACTTGTGCTTAGCTTTTAAAGCCAAGCCACTGACTCACAGTCTCCAATGAACCATAGGTTGTGAGCACAGCATATAGATTTCAAAGTCAAACGTGCAATGCATCACTTGACATAATTTGCAGAATGAATTCAACTTTGAACTGAAATAGAAAACCCCGTATTTTAAACAGAACTAGCTATTTTATTTATTTACTGGAGGCCTGGTGCACGAAATTTGTGCGAGGGGCTTGGCCCTCGTAGCCCTAGCTTTGTCCAGAAGGTTGCCTGGAAGGACGCCCGGAAGGTCATTCAGCTGTCTGGTCTAATTAGCATATTATGCTTTTATTATAGATTTTTATTATTTATATATTTTTTGAGCTAGCTATTTTAAATACAGGAAATAAGGCACACGTCCTCTCCAGCACTGGAAGCTCCTCACCTACTGTTCCTGTAGACAGCTATTTCCAGGCCTGAATTCTCTTGCACTTAGCACTTGCTCTAAGTTAAATTTTAAAATGCCAGTATCTCAAGTAGAGCAATGCTTTCTACTGTTTTTTGGGGGGCACTAACTTCTGGTATGAATCTACTTTGGAGTAAGGAGCAAAACACAGAATGTACCAGAAACACAGATAGGCTGGTGGTGGGAACAGTTTGGGCTGGGGCTCATAACTTAGGGACAGAAGAGAGTACTGATCAGCTCCTTTTGTGTGTTCTCAAAGGATCCGGAATAGCCTTAATAGTAACATACACTGACATAGACTTATGTATTATGTTTTTATTTAAAATTTTTACTGGGGGGGGGGGGGGTTGAGAGAGAGAGAGAGAGAGAGAGAGAGAGAGAGAAACATCGATGTATTCATTGGTTGTTTCTTTTATGTGCCCTGACTGGGGATCAAACCCACAACCTTGGCGTATTGGGACAAAGCTCTAACCAACTGAGCTACCCAGCCAGGGCTGATACCCTGATACAGGTTTACAACTAATTGTACTATACGTGGCTGTTTTTTTTTATAGTTTAAGTACCTTAAAAATAGTTACTGCACTGGGTACTCACATCTTTTTTTTTTTTTTTTTTTTTTTTTGCCTTTTAGTCCGATACACTGTGGGAAACAACTATTTTTCCTCCTCAAGGGAGGCAGGAGGCTTGGAGGCAGAGGGGCCAGGTGATAGAGGGGCTGGAACTCATGCGGGGGAAGGAGCAATGGCCACAGCATCAGGAGCCTAAAGACAAGGCTGAGGCTGTAGTGCAGACATGTTCTTGGCCCAATGTCTGCGTCAGTGTCTAAAACATGCGTGTCATAAATGTCTATGTGTGCTGGTTACCTACTTCTCCCCAATTTTGCAATAAGAGTTCAATTAAAACATCCCAAGCTTGACTCACCTGAAGGAAGGATATGTGGTTTTCCCTTAACCTTAGGGAAGCCTCAGGGCACCCAAAGTGCCTGCGGTGGCTGTTTTGGGGGTTAATCTAAAATCTAGAGACATGGACCAGGCAGAGACAAATGCAAGGTCAGAGAGTAAGAGAGAAGGGTCCTTGGAGTCCTGGACCCTCACTCTGTTGACAACAGAGCAGGAGGCCTAAAAATATATGCTGATTAAATTTATTGTATATAAAAAAGTGTCCACCTAAAAATAATGACCTCCCCTTAGCACCCTATGGAGACCAAGTTTTCAATTACAGAGAGAAAAACCTGGGATGGAGAAGTCTGCCTCTCTTCTCCTGTAGCATACGGGTTCCTGGAACCGAACGGCTTTTATGAAGGTACACAGTAAAGGCAGACGGCGGGGCGTGGGGGAACACAGTATTTCCCTCAAATGCCAACTCTGTATATCCTTGAGGTCAAAGGCAAGTCGCTCCAGACATTACCTGTGGAAACCACTCGGAGTCTCCCAGAGCCTTCAGGAAGGTCACGTCTGAGTCCGTAGGAATGGTGCTTGGGACACAGGCCCTCATCAACTTTTTAAAACTGGCTTTCACTTGTCGGATGTCATGAAATTCAACGGGAACAAACTCACAATTTAAAGCAAATTCTAACTTAAAGTTCTGTGGATAAAGATGCAGAGAATTAGGCAGATGAAGTGTCATGGTAAGAGA